TCTGCTACTAATTCAAGTACATTAACTGATGTTTAGAGCAGGTATCTAACTACCCAAGAAGACAGGGGATGGTTCTCCCCAAAGAGTCCCTCATAGACAATGTTTTACTTGGTTATGTTTTTCTCACCAAAACTAAATAAAACACGAGTCTGCACCTCTCATTTTGAAGTTAGTCTCTATGTATATGGCAAGGTGAAATTTGTCAATGTTAATAATGTACAACAGCAGGCAGGATGCGTTTCTAAGATTTAAACATTTTTTATTTTTTCATGTGTAGTGCTAGAGAGCAAACATAGGGTCTGGTGTACGCTAGGCTGTGTTCTACCATTGAGCTGTACCCAGCATACTTAAATACCTATAAACCTGTTAAGAATGCCCACATGGATTATTAACAGACTGTTTTGGTCCTAGGAAATGGTACTTGTCATTGGGAAAATGTCTTTCTCCTAAATTATCAGTAACTAATAGAAACTATTATGAAAAACATAAACGGTTAATCCATCAGATTACAGATACACAGGCTTATCTTTTTTTTCTCCCTAAACTGGTTTTAGCTGTGTCTGATGGTTCAAATCTGTAATCCCAGCAGGTTCTGAGACAGAAGTAGGAGGATTCCAAATTCAAAGTTTGTGTGGGCTACAAATTGAGTTCAAGGCCACTAGAGGCAACTTAGTGAGAGCCTGTTTCAAAACAAAAAGCAAAAATAGGGCTAGGGATAGACTTCAGTGGAGGCAGCAGGTGTGAGACCCTGCATTGCAATCTTCAGTACTGCAAATACAGTAAAATAAAAATGGCCTTTATTGCTTATTAAATAGATATACTGCGTATATATTCAACCACTCTAAACATATACACATTCATTTTAAAAAAGATGGGACATTTTTCTTGCATTTAAAAATAGACAACTCTCGGGGCTGGAGAGATGGCTCAGTGTTTAAAAACACTGATTGTTCTTGCAGAAGACCTGGGCTCAAATCCCAGCACCCACATGGTAGCTAACAACTGTCCATAATTCCAGTCCCAGGGGATCCGACAGCCTCTTCTGACCTTCACAACACAGGTGCACTTGTCTACACGCAGGCAACACAAGCATACACATAAAATAAAAATAAATAAAAATTTTAAAAAGGTTAAAAATAGACAACTCTCAAATTTGAATAAAAGCCCTCCTCTGATTAAGTCTTAAGACAGTGTGTGTGTGTGTGTGTGTGTGTGTGTGTGTAAAATTAACTTCATTTTTGAACACTGTACAAGCTCCAGTTTAAAAAAAAATGTAGTGGTCATTAAGTCACACACTGAAAAATGGAAGAGACTATAAGCTGACTGTCATTTTGAGCTATGCTTTAATTATCTTGTTTCTAAATATACTAACTTGCTGGCTAGTTGCTTATTTTTGTGAGACAGACAAAATATAAGACCTATTACATTTTTATGACCTGGGATTTTTACATTTATGGAAAACTTAAAAACCAAAGAAAGCCCACAAAATAACAGTCATTTCAAGTTAGAGACAATGCATTTTTTCCTCATTTATTCAAATTCACTGCAGGAAGTAAACACTAAAAGATTAAAAAACAAAACAAAAAATTCACACTGCAGTATGTACAATTCATGACATCACATGAAGAACTTAAATTTCTAATAAAAATAGCAAATTATGTTACTGAGTTGATTGCATCAAAACTGGCTGTGTAAACCCCAGAATTATTACCGTGAACGGTAATGTGCTGGGATTCCAGCATTTACTAATTCTGGAATACTGATATAATGATATGTTTCCACTGGGATTTTAAAATTCATGGAAGTAGTTGTGTGAATTCTTTATGTTAAAAAGTGATTGATTAAAAACAAAACAAAACAAAAAACCACCCAGAATTGAAGACCTTGGATTCAAAGCACATTCTTTTGCAAAGCTGAAGC